AAGGATGTCGACGTCGCGTATCCACTTCGGTCGACGGGATGTCTAGGATCTCTAGGAGTTTTGAGTTCTGGTCGGTCGTGCGCCTGAGAGGAGCCTTCCGATCAATCTCTCTCGATATCAATTTTCTGTCGGCTTTTATACTAAGTTATAACAAACAGTTCGACTGTTTGTTGACCTTGCGGTTATTCCGCGCGCGGTTGTTCGGCGTTTTCTTGTTAGTAATTGTTTCGGATGTCGTGACGCTTTCCGGATCGTCACATGTTATTTACTATTGTTTGAATTTTCTCGATAATATTATCTCCCATTTCTTCGACCTTCTAATTTTTTAATTTTTTTTATTAATATCTAATCTGTAATTAAATTTCGAATATTTCTTTTTATTGGATTTTATAGTTAACATGCCTTTCAATGCTTTTACGCTGTTAGAAAGTTAAAATATGTATTATATACTGTAGCAATGTTGATTTGAAAAAAGTATTCCATAATCGGTTGTGTGTTACTTTATATGTTACGTTCATATTATTCCGATTTGATAGTTCGTTGGAAAATTATTTCAAAAGCACATTTCTGGCAAAACACGATAGCGTAACAAGACTAATATGTGTCTACTTGTTATAAATTTCATGTTTCTATATGTACACATTTTCAAGTATTTCACATTTAAGGCTTCTGTAACTCGTTATTGGAGTTAACGACAGTTTCGTTATCGTTGCGCAGCTTTTCTACGGTATAGAAAAGCTGCAAAACTGTCGTTAATTCCAATAACGCGTTACAGAATAGGGCTACTGGCTAATCAGGCGAGAAGTCCGCGTTGACGGTGGCGACATAGTCATCAGTGGTAGGAATAAGAACTTTGTCATCGTATGTATAAAGTGAATTATGTATATGTGTATGTGTGTGTAAACAGCCACCTAAATTTTTCCGTCCGAATCATGGTGTTATTACTGACCGTAGTGCTTACATATCACACATAACACAATTGCGGAACTGTGAAAATTGTCCGGATACTGTGCTTTTTGGAATATTTTAAGTATAGTAATACTTATTCTATCATATTCCATACCGAGTCTCACAGCTGATCTCCTGTCAAAATAAGCCGATTTCCACGCGTATATTTTGCAGTGTTGTAAAGGTTATTTCGGGAAAAGAACACTGTCCGGAGCATTTTACGAGTGTGTAAGATCGATTGCAAGTGTCATTTTGTTAATATATCTTTTTATTTAGCAATGATTCGGACGCAAATTAGGTGCAATTTCTCGCTTCTGACGTCATCAACCAATATGGCCGCGGTGACTAGCCAGGAGCCTTAAGATCTTATCATGATGATTTGTTGCAGGGCATCAAAAATAAAGAAATAACAACCAAGTACGATATCGTAACCGTGAAATTATTATTATTTTCTTACAATATCTATCTCTTTAATGTTCTGTTCTTGAGCTATAAACCGTCATTCGTGTTTGTACATGAAAGTATCCAAAAAGACAAAGCACTGTTCGACACTTGGATATTTCTCTTTCGCCTCTCACACTCGTTCATACGGGCCGAAGCTTTCCTCACGTGCGCTTCTTATCTATTACATCTGCATCATTTCTTTTTGTTTCTCGTAGAACCACTATGTGGATTAATGAACACCGGCGGTGCTTTCAACGATCGGTCGATCCACACAATGAACGCAGGTTGTTCTTCTTCCTTTTCTTATTTATTATTTGGCAGTGCGAAACAACCATGCTCTCTACCGCTTCCTCCTCGCTATGCAATAAATCGAGTCTTGTCGAGTGTCGGATATTGGGGAAACATTACGCCAATCTCGACGGAGCGACGAGAAGTCGTTTCCTCGTGCAAACATCGTTTTCGCGTGAGAAAGAGATCTGACCCGTGGCGAAGGACATTTCTCGTGGTCGGGGTCGCGCGCCGATTCTCGCCGCTTCGTCGGCAACGAGAGTGGCAAATAGTTCCCCTTTTTTTTCTCTATTCATGAATCCACAGGGCTCGTAAGGTAATCGTCAAGTGGGGCTCGCCAGTTTTCATCATTGTCTCTCGCGCGTATACCTCGAATTCTCTCTACACACTATAAACCATATTACTTTAAACTATGCAATATATTTTCCTACTTTTATACAAGTACAAGCAGTTCTCTAAACCGAAGCGATCTCGCGGGGTCGCGATCGAAATCATGTCATTGAATTGTCGAGAAATTCTCAATGCCGTAAAATAATTACGACTTACTCTTTTCTCGTTGCAATGTAGTCAATCGAATTAAAATAGACATATAGTTTTCGTACTAATAGTAGTAGTAGTAGTACTAGCAATAGCAGCAGCAGCAGTAGTAATAGTAGTAGTAGTAATAATAATAGTAGTAGCAGTAATAGTAGTAGAGTAATAATAATATATAAAAATTTTTCATCAAGTTCCCTGGAAGGAATCAACGACTAAAAGAAACATACCTATAATACTGATCCACACGGATTAGCGATCCCCCCCGAACATAAATTCAAAGCGGCCCTCGTCGCGATCGCTTGACTTCGTCACGCTTTTACATAGAATTTATAATAAATGCAAACACTATATCTGTAATAAGCTATATCTATGCACATATCTCGGGAGAGGAGTCTTTGTATATCGCGTTACACTCAATTATTTACAGCTCCGCGCGAGCAGCGGCGCGAGAAACGACCGACGAAAATTACGTTTCTCGATTCTCTATCCCTCCCCGCCGTCCGCCCTAAAATAATATCTAACGCGGCCGATTTCTCAATCGGTTTCTAGGTTCCCTTTATACATTTACAAGTGCTGTGTAAACCTGTATTGACACTCTACATCTCTTCGTACGCGACCCAGACGAAAACTGGAGAGCCGCCAGACGAAAACCGAGCCCTTCGCATTGTGACGTCTTTAATTCTCACTCGTTCTTTCCTTCGTCAACGCTATGTGAGATCCTCTAACCTATATATATGTACGTATGTATGTATGATGTATGTATATATATGTATATATATGTATATATATATATATATATACATATATACAGGTATATGCATGTGTGTTTGTTTATAAAGATACACCCGCGATTTCTCCAAATTGCTCGGAAATTCCACGCCGTTTCATCCGCTCTTGTATGAGTGATGTACTAGTTAATACAAATGACTTTGAAGCGATCAATATTACATTGCGCTTTGTGTTTTTCCGTAGAAAAAGTATATTTTGAAATGGATAAAATTTGGACTTGTTAGAACACAATCGAAAAATGAATGCAGTCTATAATTATATTACATCAAAATATCTACATGTTTTCGTGGATTTTCTTTTTTACTAATTTTCGAACGAGATGTTCGAGCATTTCGCGCGTATTTCTCAAATCTTCGCATGGATTTATCGCCGGGAAACATAAGGCTTGTCTGTGAAGAAGATATTTTGCTCACGCGATGTAATTATTTGATAAAATACAGCGATCGTTAGTTGTACGGTGTTTAAGAGAATCTCACAGCTAAAATTTCCTTTGTGTGTCCATATTCCTTTCGTCTACTATTCCCTAATTTCTTTTTTTGCAAAAATACGGTGCCCACCGAATTTCCGTCCTAATCGTTTTTTCTCATGCGTTCCCATGCACTCTTTACACATTTTCAAATTCCTTTTTATACATTTCGCGCCCATCGTTTCTTTGTTCTATGTTAATTACGATCACTGTTCCTTTCTCTTTCTCTCCTACCATTTCACACAAACGTTCACGCATGCACCGTCGAAAAGTAAATCTATGGCGAGTGTATACATGTACATTTATGTGTGTGTATGAATATATGTGTATGTATTTAAACAAAGCTCAATACAAAAAAAAAAACACGCGAAAGGAAAGAAAGAATGAGTATCCACGTGTTTCCTCGCAATATTTTCCTCCTTTCTTTTCTCCTTTCTCTTCTTCTAATGCTGATTGCAGACCTAATTAGATTACAGAACACTTTTACAGCATCTCTTCCTTAAATGTACGTTCATTATTCAGTGCGCGTAGCGTCGCATGGACTAAAGTTTAACTCTACAAAAAACGCACGAACATGTGTATAAAAAAAGAAAAGAACACCAGAAGAGGAACGGAAATAGTTGATTTCCGTCTCGTGTCGGACTTCGTGCACTAAAAAGCGTATACAAATCGTCTATATTAATTTCACATACGTCCATTTCCATCTTCTTCGATCCACTTCCCTCACTCTTATCTCACTCTCTCTCTCTCTTTCTTCCGCATTTACATTAAAAAAGTTACTATATCGATAATTTAGAATTGTCAGCAGGCCGATATAAACAATGTAAAAGTTTATACGAGACGTTACAGCTATGTGGTGAAGTCTATGTGATCCTTCTTTGAATATCCATCGTACTTACAGAGGGGAAAATTTGTTCATCGCTGCCGATTTGGACACGAATTTGTAAAAAAAAAAAAGGAAAAAAAAAAAGAAAAAACGCGACGAGCGAGGGTCAAGGATAGGATAGAAAAAAAGAAAGTATCTTGTAACTAAATGCAGTTCGTTCGATCTCAGCCGGCGAACAAGTACAAAATCTTAATCGCAACTAATTACAACACAAAGAGAATACGTTAGCGTAGAGAATACTTGGTGTCGGAATTAAACTCGCCGAACGCAATTGTGGCGGGCGAGCAGTCTAAGCGCATGTAAATTTCGCGCAGACTCAAATTAATTTAATAAAGCGCACGATTGCTAAAATGCCGATCGTTGCCCCATTCGTTCGAAGATTATAACAAAACTTAATTAAATTACATTTTTTTGTACCTTCTTCCGCGTGATTTCCATATTGCTGATTCGCTCGAGTTTAATTTTACGTCGCGAGAAATGGGTCGTCCAATTTGTTGGAAGGACCTTCCACAAGTGCTTTTGATCTCTCTCCCTCTACTATTTATTGCGTTTCTTCCATTCCACGAGATCAAGCGCGATCGGCCGAAGACGCTTTCTATCGTTTCACCTTTACTCGTGCGAGAAGTATCACGATATATATATAATAGCAACAGTATAATAATAATAAAGAACACACAAATCATTAATCTAATAGCTCCACTGAAAAATTTCTATTGAGATCTCAAGTAAGATTTCCGAAAAATTTCCTATATGAGATCTCAATTAAGATATATGAGAAAGTAATCATATCTCAATTGAGATATATAAAAAATAAAAAAGCTTTCCCTTTTCAAATGTTTTTATATTATGAATATTATATATTATACTATTTAATATTTATAATATAATCTAAAATTTTAAAAAGCAAAAGTTTTTCTATTTCTCATATGATATCTCAATTGAGATATCGTATAAAATAATTGAGATCTCATATTTTTCGGAGATCTCAATAGAAATTTTTCAGTAGGGAGAGCCTGTGCTTAACGCGCAGCATTATTTTGTATTAACCTAAGAGCTTTTTTTTAGCAAAATCGATCCGATTGCTCATTTCAAATAAATTTTTATTTTTTAAATATTTTCGCACCTTTCGCGAAACGATAATTTCTACCTCGTAACCAGAACGATGAATTGGATGGGTAAGTTTTCACTTAAAATGTAAAAAATGTTAGGTTGGTCCCTTTCGTGATCGACGCAATTTCGACTAACAGTCATATTTAATCGTACGAGAAATCTCGCGGTCGAAAAGGTGAAAGGACAGAAATCAGCGTTCGGGAAACGAAATCGCGCCACGAAAAAATAAAAAGTAAGCGATGAACATGAACGGCCGAGACACGACGAAGTATAAAATGTTGAGATGTACGAAGCGAGGATGAGTTTTCGAAATCTAGTTGTTGCTCACGTATCAACTGAAGGAGCATCAACTGACGAGCGATATAAAGATCTACAAGAGATCTCAATTACAATCGTTTGAACGCATATATTTTTTACTAAAACAGGTTTTCTGGATTTCTTCGTTACTTACACATCTAAAGCGCATTGCATATAAGTCTGTGTGTGTGTGTAATTAATACCATCACTACCTATCCTTTGCTTTCTAATTTTACTTTTACAGCTTGTCGTGTCTCGACCCGAAAGCGGGACGTGCCGATCACGAGGAACGCGCGGTGATTTCTCACGAGAGACCCCACGTATGGCACTGTCTCGGTGAAACCCGGATCGGTTTAAAGCGCGCGAAGCGAATTCTCGATGCGAAGAAGAAGAGAATCCAAACGGGGAGTCCTCGTATCTATCTATCTTTCCACAATCGTCCTGTTCTGTATGTCTCGTTGGCAGTGCCTCGCTTTTACGTGTTCGACGAAGTTTTGGCAGTGCACGACACATGAGCGCTCGGAGGATATCGTCGGTCTTGAGGAAGGAATCGCCGCTTAAGTGTGACAGATCGCAATTTTCTTAAAATTAAAAATAAATTACTTAGAGAGAATGAAGAGACGCGAATCATGGATTTCGTTTAAGCTTACATATTAACGAATATCGTAACAAGATGTCGCTCTGATTCGAAATTTTTGTTCTCAGAAAATTGTTCAGTAGAAAATTTTGAAGAATTAATTTTCCTCGTATTATGGCTGAACGATGTTAAAGTAAGAAGAACGACGATATGCACTCAGAGAAAATGAATCCGGAGAACGAAATGGTGGCTGCAGGTAGGCCGAGTATACACTTAATGTATATACTTAATGTATATCGTGTATACTTAATGTATATACGTTATGTATGCACATGTGTATGTGTATGCGAACAAAGAGAAAAGACCGACGAAGTTCGTTAGAAGCACGACATCTGACACGCATTCGTGCAAATAGAGACAAAGTATACGCTAAAGGCGCGCCGTTAAAAACGAGACGGAGCTGGCAGAGCGTGATTTTGGCAGTGACGCGTTTCGGTCTCGACCCGTCCATAGATAAGCGAGGATCCATCACCACCTTTGCCGCCGTGTGTATGGGTGTATGTTTGCGCGCGTTTATGTGTGTCGTCCTCGCGGGAACGCTGTGCTCGAAAATCAACGGGTACAGAGAGATATAGATAGCCTTCGAGTACTCGCGACAAGCTCGACCTCCAGCGGTGACGAAGGCAAGCCCACGGCTGCGAGCACGGTATCGTGTATATGCCGTTTCGTTTACGATAATTTCAACTAAGTATTTACATTTATATTTGCGGACACGCCACATCCTTGCGCGCGGTCGTTCAGAAAGTAGAATTGTCATCGAGTTAGAACGCGCATCCCGCAGAGCGTAAGTAACGACCACGACCATAACAACGACGACGACGACGACGATGACACGTTCTCAGTGCAGCCGCTCCCTTCACACATCCATCCTCGCGTCAGCTAGAGATCTATTTGATTATACACTTAACCATATCTTTATGATAATAATAAGAATAATTAATCGATTAATTGTCGTAGAGTTCTTAATTATATACAATCGTATTGGCAGTGTTTCTTAGCTGGTGTGTATGCATGACATTTTGTCTTTGTCCGTACCATCTATTTATTTCCGTGTGTCCCGTTAGATCCTCATCTATCACTCGCATTCGTACACGCTCTCGTACACGCCGTTCTCTCTTGTTAATCATACGCGTTTCTCTCTCTCTCTTTCTCTTCCCCCCCCCCTCTTTGATCGCATCAACACACACATACATCGATACAACACACGCAATCTTCTCCTCTTAATTTACACAAGGATCTTTATCCGCTACGTATATATACACACGCACGCCGTCGCGCTCCGCGCCGCCGCAACAGATAATCATAAAAGTTACTCCTTTTTTCTCTCTGCAAGCTGCGATACGGCTACCTACGAGCGTCGCGGAAGCGACGGCGTGCACTGCACATTGTTCGCTCTCTTTTTCTCAGCGTTCCTCTAACAACTCCGTGAGAAATGTAACACAGCCTTCGTAATTTACCCTTTTTGAGGGTAACAGCTCATCGGTTACGATCGTGCAGTGTATTGATCACACTCTTTTGATTTCTATTGCGGCTCGACTCGCTTTTCGTTTACTTGTAATGAAACAAAAAACGATAGATCGACATGAAATCCGACTTTCCAAGTCGATGAGTGTACATCAACACGCTGCGCGAGACTCAGCAGAAAGATAATAATAAGCGACGATGAAATACACGAGAAATCGAACATATCTCAGGCGCGGGAACGAAGCAAGCCCGACGCGCGTCTCGTTCCCTTCCTCTTTGCGCTCGGGCATGCTTCGGGCTTTGAGATTCTTTTCTTTAATTTCATTTTGTACACATCGCCTCTGCATTTCAAGATGAGGACATAATATTCGATAGAAATCTCGGTGGCGTGCATGTCGTCCGATTCTACAATCTTTCAACTTCATGCCGAGCTCTCACACAGCCTGAGAGACTGTCAACCCCATTCAGGGAAATAACGGCGGGTTCGGAGCAACATCACTCTATGTCTCTTACACTCGCTCTTACATTCTCCGTTCTCTCATACTCTTGCATTTTCACCTAACATACTCTTTCTCTTCTAATCTGATTTTTTCGTCTCTTGGCGCAGTCTTCGCTTCACGTTGTCCACGATATTCTTCCTCTTGCGTCTATCTCTCTCTTCGATTTCTCGTACGATAATCGACGCGAGTTTCTACCGAGGTGTACATCAAAGTAGACGCATCTCTCTTTCTCTCTTCTTTTCGCTCCTTTTCTTCCTCCTCTTCTCGGAATATCGTCGAAGATCTCGTTCGTCCCCAGGATTTGGTTCCCCAGAATCCATCGGTTCCCCGGAAGTGCCAAGGGCCGATGTTAGATATTAATTGAGTCCTAAGGCCACCAGAGTGATTATCTCCTTATAATTGTTAACTACCGTTTAAACATTTTATCTGTGCACTCTCTCAGTTTCCTTCAGCAAAAATCGAACGTAGACATACGCAAAAGCTTCTTTTTACCGTCTTCTTCCTTATCTTCTTGTTTTCGCATTTCTTTTTCCCTTTTAATTCTTGACTATCGTTACCGGTTCCCACCACATTTCTATCTCTTCCCTGGATCTTGATCGGCGAGAAAACGGTACAAAACGTATCCACGGTGAGGCACTTTTGAGGCCCAGACTTAGCTCTTCCGAGGCCGACGAGCTCCGAATAATATGAGATATTCGTGACAGAGATCCGCATCCAATCAGCTCATTGGTGCGTTACCATCGATGAATAACGAAGAGTAAATGTCTCGTTGTGGTCAGCAACGGCTCTCGTTTGACTCTAAACGGGAGATGGATTTAACTAGGATGATCCTAAGCTCCCTTTCGCTCTTCTTTTTTTCTTAATCTTTCTCTCTTTCTCTCTAGTTCCTCCTCGAGATTTTCCCAGTTGTGTGTTCCTCTATTCTTATTGCTACTGTGCTACTTGGTTCGTCCCGAATTATAATCTCTTTCACGCCGTCTCTCAACTGACTGTGATTCTTATCTTAGCTGGCTAATCGATCTGAATCCATGTAGATTGGTCGTCCTCCTAAATTAGGTAAGTTATCTTATAAACGGTCTTCTTCCTCTTCTTTCTTCTCCTCGATACATTCAGGCTTTAGGTCGCAACTTGCGGCGGCCCTTGTCTTCACCGACCAGGAAACGTATAGACCGTACTACACATCGGTAGTATTTTGTTCTTCTCTGGTTTAGGTGTCAGCGCGCTCGTTAGGTCAATCCGATCCGGCCGACCGACATTATCACGAGTTCTTCACCGGTTTTCGGCGCTGCTTCACTCGCATCGTCGGCATTTGAGCGCTTATCGCGGGATAGAGAGCCAAACTCACCTCCTCCGGGTTACTAGCGGCCACATTGCGGATGCCTACGTACTTCGTGCTTTGTACTTCAGATTCTAGTACCCATTCATCCGGTACTCTGTGGAAATACCGAAAAACGTGAGTTACGGGAATGAACTTGAAAATGCGAGATACCTCGTTGTCGTTTATTATACGGACACTTACATGTTCTGGGGATACCACCGTAGTAGTACCTTTGTCTTGCCGTCCATCTCGACTCTCCTCATTAAAATCTGAAGAGGAAAGCAATATTATTAAATAAACCATTATATATATTAAGACACGAATGCAAATAAATATATATTAAGACAATGTATGACTCTTTGCGTGCAACTTACTTGACTAGTTAGTGCCATCGAGTTCCCTGGCGTTTCAGCTAGTCGCCCTTGCGTCCTCGATGTCTCTAGTGCCAATAGCCTGTACTGCAAACGTTCCATCACTCCCGAGTCAAAATAGTCGAAAACCCTTGCTGCAAAAGATACCGAGATATTTAACAACGCGCAAGTGAATATGCCTCGTAAAAAAAGTTCAGTAAAAATTCGTGAATACCAACAAAAAGAACTTGCGCGAGCAATGACGAAACATTAATATTTCACAATAAGCACGAGGAAAGAGAGAAAAGAAAAGCTACAATCGTCGGAAAGCGTTAGGGCCTATTCATACCTTCGCGGAAAACAGAAAAGCCGAAGCCAATCAGAATTCGTGCCGGTGATCAGGTTATAGTCAAATAGTTTCTACTTTTCTACAAGCATGAGTTCTGATTGGCTTCTGTTTTTCTACCAAGGTAGAAAACTTTTTCCCTTACTCACCGGACCAAGGTTGTCGCCTGTATCTGAGTTTCTTGCCGTTCCTTCTGACGAGCTTGCCGCCATTCTCGCAACTGCGTTTTCCGGTGTTGCCGTTCGTTTCCGGCTGATTGAAATGACCATTCACGTGCCTTTCGAGAGCGGTCTGCAAATGAGAAGAATGCGCACACATTGTTAATACTTAAGAATTCTCAGACACGAAGGGACTCAACGGCATGTTGCGAGGACTAGGCTGTTACCTGAGAGCTGAATCTGCTGCCGCAACCGTCGACGATGCATCGAAAAGGTTTATTGCCACCATGAGACAAAACGTGTCTCTCCAGCCATCGTCGGGAACACGAAGTCCTTCCTTGTACTTTGCACCCTTGCCACTGGCAGACGAAGTTATCGACGCCAGTTTGCGTGTTGATGTGCGCAGACTGTAAAAAATGATAATGCACACAATTATATAATGTGTGTATATGTATACTCGATATATATATATATATATATATATATATATATATATATATATATATATATAT